CTTCCTTTTCTTCAATTTTAGCCTCACTAATAACCCCATCCAAATCTATGTCCATTTAAATACACACTAAGGAGCTCCTGCCCATGAGAACAGAGATCACTACTTATTTAGCAAAATCAACAGATCTGCCAAACTGAAAAAGATCCAGCATCCAAAAATGTGTATTCTAAAACATTCTATGAAAAAGACACTTAAGATCACTCACAAAGGACTGCGTAGGTATAACCGTACACTCCTGCCAAAATCCTTGAGTCAAGTGAGTTTGCCTTATTTTTTGCCTGTAAAGCAATAATATGATATCCGACATAGTTATGACAGAAGAAATCCTAGAAGAGCTTGCTCGTGCATCATCAACAATTGTGTCAGATAACTGCAGTTTGCTGGAAAACAGCTGCTGATGAGTATGACCCAGGAAAAGGGGTCGCAATATGCACAAAGGCATTCAAAAGAAAAGGGATCTTAAAGGACCATACACTGGACTTGTTCTTGCAAAACAACCTCCATTCACCACTAACAGGCAACGAGCCAGGTCTGTGGTTGGCAGCAGGCTGGGCACTTGCCTGTCTTGCTCACAGGGGACAGGGCAGGGACCCAGAACCTCCAATTCCGTGACTGTCCCAAGCAAAGGTTTTGCTGTTTCTGAGAAGTTGGAGACTACGGCAAAATTTTCAGGAGAGATTTTTTTCCCCCCACCTGTCAGACAAATGACTAAAATGGGTTCCAGAAGAAAAACATCTCTCCGCAGACCACAAGGAATCACTATGATCTTCGCCTCAACAATACAATCTGCCGAGTCACAAGCAGAAATACGCTCTGTGTTTTCTCTTGCTAGCTTTAGAAGTGTTCTAGCTTAGAATCCTTTCTATTTGAATTCTACAGCAGAAACAAACAAACAAAAAAGCAAAAGGCAAACGTGAGACTACTGAGAATAAGAAGTAGGTTGAGAGTTCCTAGGTCCCCATATTAGGAATGGAAATGGGAAAATGACTGCAGACAACCCTATTAGGCACGTGAAGCTCACTCTTTCTTTCTGGTTTGTGAAGATACGGCTATGAAAAAGGCTGGCAGCCCTGTGGATGGCTAAATGTAACTGTGAGTACCATGGCCTCAACTTGGATCAGCTAAGAAAGTCAATGACATTCCACTCAGCAAAAATCAGACTCCAACATTCGTCCGGTTATAGGCTAGATGTTAGTTTCCTAAATAAAAAGAATTGTATTCAAGGAAAGTATTTAATGAGTACCGCTTCTGTCCTTAAAACATTTCCCCCCTAAAACTCATCTGTCTTCTTTATCTCCGTAAGTGACACAACCATTCACCCAACTATTTAAATTCCAAAACCAAGAAGTCATCTTTGATGTCCTATTCTCGTCGCCCCTGGTCTAACCCACCAGAAGAGCCACCAGCTCTGCCTCCAGAGCCCACCCCACACCTACTGCCTCTGCTCCATCTCGCTCGCCACCACCCTACCCCAACCTCTCGCCACCATCTCTTGCTCAACTACTACAATACCCCACCTGGTGGCCCAGCTTCTACTTCTGCCTCCTATACTTTACTACTCAAAGGCCGGGCTATGCAATCCATGTGAAATGCAGAATATGTTCTTCTCCTGCATACAACCTTCCAAAATCTCCCACGTGTTTGTAAAAAGTCAATTGTCCCTGCATTGCATTCGATATTCCAAGGCAATGCTCCTTGCCTATCTCCTAAATCCTTTCTGTCCTCCTCTCATGAAGCTTCATCTCCACAGGCCCTCAGTCTGGGCCTTGCTTAGGCCATGCTTCTGCCTTCCCCAGGCCCTTTGAACTTGACACTTGAGCTTCCTAGGATGACCCTCCCTTAGAACTCATCTCAGGACTCCTGCACAAGGCTGCCCTCTACATTCACCCCGCCCCAACCCCCTTCACTCTGTCGTGTCACTTGGGTTTAATTCCTTCATACTATTATTACCTATGCTTCTATGTGTGTGTGTGTGTGTGTGTGTGTGTGTGTGTGTGTGTTTTAATGTCTCTTCCCACCACAAAAAGAATACAAATTTTAGAAAAACAAGAATCTTATTTCTTTTGTTCGCTAACATATGTCTGGAGCCTAAAGCACTGCCTGGCCTGTAGAATGCATTTAGTAAACATCTGCGAACGAATTAACATAATCACTCAAAGCTCTTGGCCTTTGTGTATTCTTGAAACTTTAAGGTAACATGTAAGAAAAATGTGACTCTCTTTTGGATAGCCTTTCTAAGGAAAAATATCAGGCTCTATGAATGTATAAAAACTTTGATGAAATCGAAAGGGTGGACCGAAGGAGGCTGACCCGTAAGCTGCATCAGTAACATCCCCAATCAAACTCTACTTCCCTGACCACATGTGGGAATGGAGAGGGGAAAGGCGGAGGGGGGAGGGGGCGGGTGTCCTTAGGGAAGGGCACCAAGTCGGGGTGGCAACAGTAACCAGCGTGAGCTTATTCCCAAAGGGTGACCCATCTCAAAGGGCAACTGTCCCCGAGAGAACTGTTGGTTAGCAATCCTCCCCAGCCATTTTCTAGAACTTAGCAGAGAGACTAATTATCAGAAACCTCTCTCCACAGATAAGTGCATTCCTCATCATTCCCCCACTAATATCTCAGTCTGCTTACCCCCCTGTAGTGGTACCTCTTCTGAGTTTTGAAGAAAATCTAGACCATACATAAAGTAAAATAAACTTTATGTATGTTTATGTATGTATGTTCTGTTACTGGGGTGCTGTTGAAGCCTATGGAATAACATTTCTTAATAGAGCACCTTTAATTCTGTAACTGTTTTGTGTGCAGTTTGGTGAGGGGTGCAGGGAGATAGCAATGAATAAAGTAAGAGGAAAATACAATCATAAAGTGGTGGGAAAAAATTGCCCATTCTGAGGAAATTATTTCCTTGCATATTAAGGGATTTTGTTTGCTATTTGCTTTTTGCTCTCTGTGCCAGGCTGCTGCCCTCCAAAATGGCAAGGCTGGGAGGAATTATTAGCCTCTAACACACAAGGATGTCACAGGGAGGGGATAAGCAGCAGCCAGTTCAGTGAATAGAAAAAAATTAGAATTATCTTACTCTTTTCAGTTTATTCCAATTCTGCATTTAATGAATAACAATGCTGTACTTCTGAGGTTGAAAGGAGGAATGTGCAGTCAACTTGGGAACAGTTTTAATCAAAAAGCAAGCATTAGCCATAGCTAGTGTTTGCCTTTGTTTGCACCATATTTATTTTCATTCCAACTTGCAAATTGATATATCTTCTAGAACACAGCTCTGCAACACTTTTAGCCCACCACACTCCCTAGGTTCTGTCTCTTAGGAATAAGACACAACTCTCACAAAAGACAAAGAGAAGGAAAGAAAAAACTTAAACTATCCAATTCTTCCCATAGATGAAAAAGATCTACCTAGTAGTGATTAGCTGCCATGACATTAAAAAATACATAAATAGGTAAGTCTTAAGAAGGAAGCTTCACAAGTCACAGCACATCCTAGGAAATCCTCTTTCATGTCTTATTACTTGGGTTTATTTCCTGCATAGTATTACCTATGCTATCAACAAGGTCTCCCAATTGTTTCATGTGATTTATTTTGCTAATACTGAAGGGAGGGTCAGAAGACCACAGGCTGTAATGGGGAAAGAAGAGAAAGAAGGAAAACAGGCACATAGAGACAGTTTATTATTTACATTGCATCTTGATCTCAGACAGGACTCATTTTCATTGTCTTTCAAAACTCATCATTATTTCACTCCTTGATCAAAAGCACATACATTCTGAAGAGGTCTGCAAGAGTAGGGGTACAGGAGGAAGCAACGGAACTACAACCCATCTACGAGAACTCCGCCTCGTGATACCTCAGCACACGTGGGCCAACCGGATCTTTAACCTCTTATGAGAAATCCATATACTCATCCCAACCAATGTCATGCATATACCACATACCTGAGAAAGATTAGTAATACTCTGGCTTGAAAATGACAATCCAGTCCAACTATGCTGATATTCATTATGAATTGTGAATATGCCTTTTGAATTACTGTTCCGCAGTATTAACTCTCTCAGTGATGGGGAGCTGGGGGAGAAAGCAGACAATGCTGCTTCATGTCAATATTTTATACGTAGAGGAGTAACAGATGCAATGCAGTAGCATTCGAGGGCCCATGGAGACCTGCAGCCCCCTGGGACCACATTTCTTGCCCTGCGGAGCTGCTTCTGAAGGAATGCCCATGACCAGCAAAGTCAGAAATACTGATCAGGGCCACTTTAAATAATCACTAATTAAAGCAGGCTTGCTAACTGTCAGGAGTGCTCAGTTGTTAAGCAAAGGGGGGTTAGCAAATAAATACAATAAAGAATACCCTAGAAATCTTACCATTTGCGACAACATGGATGGGCCTAGAGGACATTATGCTAAGTGAAACATTTAAGTCGGAGAGAGAAGGACAAATATCATACGATTTCACTTATATGTGGAATCTAAAGAGCAAAATAAATGAACAAACAAAATAGGAACAGACTCACAGACACAGAGAACAGACTGATGGTTGTCAGAGGGAGGAGGGGGGTTGGGAGGCTAGGTGTATAAAGTGAATGGATTAAGAATTACAAATTGGGGAGGGGGTCCAAACTGGTAGTTACCAAATAGTCACAGGGATGTCAAATGCAGCACAGGGAATAGTACAGTCAACAATATTGTAATGACATGTATGGTGCCAGATGGGTATTGCAAATACCAGGGGGATCACTTCGTAAACTTTGTAATTGTCTAACCACTATGCTGTACACCTGAAACTAATCCAAAAGGATGTTAAATGGAAACTGTAATTGGAAAACAAAATAAAGAAGGAATACCCCAGTGAAAAAGGCAAGCGTAGAAACAGACACCCTGAGCCGTTGGGGGGCGGGGGAGGAAGGCTCGCATGGCATGCTGGTGTTTCAGTGATGGGGCGGCTGGGCGGACACAGGGCTCAAGGGCCGCTGCGAGTCCTACTTACGTCGAAGGGAGCCGAGCTCGACTGGGCGTTCTGGCCGCACGGCTCCCTGAAGCAGTCGCTGAAGGGAAGGAGAAGACCCATGGCGAGGATGCGGGAGCAAAACTTCTCCGCCTCTTCCGGAGGTCCGTTCTCCTGCTGGCTGAACAGCTTCTCCAGCAGAGTCCGCCCTGCAGAGGGAGCGGGGATTAGAAGGCAGCGCTGACAGGTCACCTGCCTCAGAGCTCTCCCGCAGGAGAGGACGCGGGTAAACACCGCCAGGGAGCGGCAGCACAGTTGCCACGGCTACTGTCTCGTGCAGAAAGCGGCCTCGCCAACTCGCGCAGAAAGAGTGGCCTGGGCTACCACGTGGGAAAGGGCAGCTCTGGTTTTCCCTCCCATCCGCCCAAATACCTCCCGCTCCAAAAGAGGGTGGGTCACGTTAGGGGGCGCGCATCTCCTCCTGTCTAAAGAAGGGCCCCAAGATTTGGGATGTCACTGGTAAGCCTCCTTCCCAGGAAGCAGTGAGTCACCACCACTTGCTTAGGGAATGTCAGGGGAGTGACCATGACGGGGAGGGGCGGAGAAGAGGAGACAGGGGGGCAGAAGGGAGCTGACCAGCGAGAACAGCCACCCTGGAGACAAAGGTGAGAGAGAGAAACTCAAAAACCTCTCCTATGCACCTCAGAAGCCTAACTGTAGAGAGGGTCCAGACTTGTTTTGTTATTATCGCTCTAAAAGGGACAAGAGAAGAGAAGTGGCCGAGGACCTCGGAGGCCCCAGGTCCACCTGCTCCCTTGGATCTCAGGGCTGGATGTGCCTTGGACTCACCTGGAGAACGGAATGGTGGAAGTGCCTAGGGTAACAGGCCTTTGAACTGCCCCCTGGCACACGCCTCCCTCTAAAGCGTGACCACCCTCAAGAGACCACACAGCCTCGTTAACCCTTTGGGTCATCTGACCCCCACTTTGCTTTCTCCCACCTCCATGCAATCTTCCTCGCATGCCCTCCTCGATTCCAAATGCATACAAGGAGCTGCAAACTGTAATTTCTTGGAAGCATTCCCCCTCAGTCTGTTGAGAGCTTGCTCCCAGATGTATTCTCTGTTGGACTCAAACACATTTTTATAAAAATTCTCTATAGGCTTGGACATTCTGACATTGGCACTGCCTTGGCCTAGTCAGCAGGGCTCAAAAGAAGCCCACCCTGGCCCACCCCACGACCCAGACTCCCTGCTAGGTCGCAGCTGGGCCGCTTTGCTCCACCAGCTCCCGGCTTCTCATTGGATGAACTTGGGGGAGTTTTCTCTCGGAAGCCGAACTGACCTGCTTTAGGTGGAGGTTCCTGACTTCATCTGAGCTGTTCCTATGTGACTGCTTTTAACTGCAGCTTTTTAAAAATTGACTCACAAGAAACATGAAAATTCACGTGGGTAATCACACCTCCAAGGTTCTCAAGCCCTGCAGTGGTCAGAGTCCAATCCATTTGGACCCTCAACTTTTGTAGGAAGCAAGTGCCTACAAAAATGGAGAGATTGCACTAAAAATAATATCAGCTTCCGATGGCTGAAGCCATCCTGCAATCCAGTTCCCACCTTGCTTCCTCCCGCCTTCCTATAATCTGCCTTCCATTCCCTCCATTCTACATACAAAAATAGAAGCTGCAGACGGCTATTCTAAGAAGCATTTTCTCAGTCTGTGGAGATCTTGCTTTTAGGTGGATCCTGTTTGGCTCAAATAAATTTTCATAAAAATCCTCTACAGGTTTGGACATTCTTACATCGGCATAGGTACGGCCATAGCCAAGTTATTCAGCCTCTCTTGGGCCTCAGTTTTCTCATCTGTAACTAGAAATAATTGTCCTCATTACCTTCTAGGATTGTTGTCAAGATGAAGTGAAATTAACTTATAACAGAAGTGAACCTTGAGTGAAAAAGATACCCAAAGAGAAGGGCTACCTGGGCTCAAATTTAAAAGCAGAGCCTAGCAGCCATTTCTAAACGGGGGCCTCTCATGCAAACCACACCTCAGGGAGAAGCCTGCCCTGAACTGCCTGCCTCTGCACTGAACTCCGTTCCTGCCGTCCGAGCCAGCCCTAACTAATCTAGGAGTTCCTGGAATTGCATTTCAACCAATAGGACTGAGGCTTTCCCCATCCAATCAGAGCTGTGCAGCTATATCCCCATCAGTATCTTCACCAACCAGTCAGAATGGCTCCAATCTAACCAATCAGGACAGTGCTTTTTGGACCAATCAAACTGTTGGGATGTGGATTTCATTTGCTTGAGGATTGCCTTTGAATTATATTTGCATGAGGATAGACCAATCAGGGGCCAGGGGTGGGGACTTGTCTATAAAAGTCAGCTCCCCTCTGGCTCAGGGAGTGCACTTTCCCTTTCCACCAAAAATGGAAGGCTAGATTTGCGCTCTCCAGAAGAGGACGAAGCAGACCAGTGCAGGGCAGGACAGAGCAGACCCATGCAAAGTGGGGCAGAACAGGCAGAGCAGAGCCGAGCTGTCTAGCTAGAGAGACGACTCGCCTGAGGGCTGCCTCCCCGCAGTGCCACTGTGCCCCAGGGCCACCGCACAGCCATGCTGTTCCACAGCCATGCTGCTTCGTAATGGAACTGAAAGACTACTGAGCTGGTCTACAGCCATGTGGGTCTCACGGCGCTGATACATCACACCCAGTGCTGTTTGCGCTGAGTGACGTTTCCTTCTTCACCACACCCCCAGTGGGGGACTCCTGTTGGCTTTGAACTGCCACCAATGGCCATTGGTTGACACAGGTTTAACATGGGGCCCAAAAATCGTCACCTGTTATTATTTTTATCAAGGTATAGCTCAAGGGCTTGGTACTTGGAAATGGGATACATAAAATTTTGGTTCAACTAAAGGGAAGAAAATCGTAAGTAAATTATAAAATCATCAATATGTATCCGTAATCTAAAAGCATTAGAAAAAGTATGATTGTAAAAGCACTTGAAAAAGTAAAATAAGCAAGGCAGACACAAATTAAAATATCTTTAGCTAAGGCATTTTTATATGCAATAGATTTTAATTATTTCACAAGGTAATATAATATTTAAGACTCTGCTTACTATGATTCCTATTTTCTATTTTGTTTTTTTAAAGCTTTCATTGTTTTACTAAATTTATTAAATTCATGTTAAAAATAATATGCATCCAATGTCAGTAAGGGAACTTACTAATCATTAATAGTATTAATATTAATGATATTAATTAATTAATATTAATAGTAATAATCATTAATATTATTAATCATTAATAATCATTCTCCAGTTATTTCCACACTAATCCTGTCTCCCAGGCACACTTATATACCCTTGTGAATAAAAAGCATTACCGCCCTGGCTGGCGTAGCTCAGTGGGTTGAGCACGGACTGCGAACCAAAGCATCGCAGGTTTGATTCCCAGTCAGGGCACATGCCTGGGTTGCAGGCCACAGCCCCCAGCAACTGCACATTGATGTTTCTCTCTCTCTCTCTCTCCCTCCCTTCCCTCTTTAAAAATAAATAAATAAATAAATAAATATTTTAAAAAATAAAAATGAAGAGCATTTACCTTCATCACGTGGAATCAGCTTGGCAGTCCCGCACTGCCTACAAACGCCCCTTCAGCACTGCCAAGCAGAAATCACAGAGCAATATAAACCTGGCAACAGCAGCCAGAGGGACGCTGTGTGAGGACAATCTACCATAACAACGAATGTAGTGACCCTCTTGCACACGCAAGAAGTACACTGGTCCGTGCCTGCACTGGAGTTCTGTTGGGTGGATGAGCAGTGACACTATGAAAACTAGAAAAGCTTCCCTTTGGACAGAACTACACAAAGTCAAGTCATTTCCACACCTATTGTCAGCTTTGTGAAGCTCAGCAAGGATTAATCATCACAATCTCAAAGACACGAACTGAGGAATGAATGGGTTCTGGCGCCTCCCTGAGCGGAAAGTGGCAGAGCCGAAACTGGGTGCACATGCCGCTCTCCTCATTTTTATTCCAAGGATCTTCCACCTCCGCGTGGGCCAGCAACTTTGGGGAAAACTTCTGACCAACATTCTGTATTGAGATTTAAAAGAAATAGACCACGAGGTCTGTGCTCTGCGGGGACTAACAATCTAATCACAATGGCCAGCATTCAAGAGGGAACATTTTTAAAATGCAGGCTACTTGGAACATGCTATCTTAATTAAACATCCTTAGTGGAATCGGGGGAGGGGAGAAGGCGGCCAAGACAAGATATAACAAAGCACTTAGGAGTCTATCATTTGCCAAAGAACGTCCAAGGTCCACCATCACGAAGAAAACATGCTCCCTGTCTTTAATAAATAATAATATAGTAATGAGGGAAATGTTGGCAGGTGCTCTTGTAGAAGAGATGCAAAGTACTGGCTAAGAACTGGCCATAAAGCAGAGATCTGGCTCTTTCTCCGTCTTCTGGAGACGACAAAGCCTCCAACAGGAGGAGAAACTATCAACACTAGAACCTTCCCATGCGGACAACACACTTCCCACTAGCCTTGATGAAGCACGTAACTTTCTGTTTTTACTGAACCCAAATAATAGTAACTTGTTGTTATTTAGTCAGTGACAACCCTCCATGTTCTGTATTTTAGAGCCAGAAGAAACCTTAGTGATTATTTCACTCAGTCTTCTAATCTTGCCCGTAAAGAAACCAAGACCCAAATATTTCAGTAATATATCCCAGGTCACACATGGAAGAGGACACAGCGTGAGTGTTGCATTGTTTTATCGTATCATTCCTATAGGATCATGTCCTAGAGTATCATTCACTTATAATCCTCTGTTTAAAATGTATAGATTTTAGAGCTTGCAAACACATCATTGATTTTTTTCCCTTTGTGCATTTTTTATGGTTGAAGGATGAAGAGAATCTAAGTGCAATGTTTGAAAGGCATCAATGTAAGTTTTTCTTTCTTCCAAGCTGCATATCTTGTGCACGATGAGAATTAAACAGAAGTCCCATTATGTTAAACTTTTTTCTGATGTTATGGCTCAGACACGTCTATGTAATAAACGTCCCCTGAATCCCATATTACCTATCAATTGAAATAAGAAGAAGAAATGAGGTTGTTGACGAGCACATGCAGAATTAGACAGTAATGGTAATTTGCTTAAGTTTCATGTCAGCAAATACAGAGATATCACAT